ATCGGAAGCTTCCCCCCCCAAGTGGGGGGGGGAAGCTTCCGATGATCGCGCGGCTCACAGCAACGGCGATCGCTCCCCAACCGCTTCACACGAACCGATGCAAACCGATATCCTTTCACCCCTGAGGTCAAAGAGTCCTAGCCGGGAAGCTTACCTTGCAGGGGCGGGATGACCACCACGTGCCGGGAGAGCTGGACGTTGCAGGCTGTGCCGCACTCGAGCGGGATGGGGCAGTGCTGGAAGTGGTGCAGCATGTCTAAGATGGAGGAGAAGTGGAGGTGCTGAACTCGGCACTGGCCCCGCTCGGTCAGGGAAAGCCGCAGGTGCTGCCGGAGAAGCATAAGAGACAGTTACCCTTTGCCCCCTCTCCCCAGATCCTCCCCACTCCCCAACGTGGCCAGGGCGAGTCCTTCCCTAGGAACCCTACATTCGACTTGGCTTTCAGACCTCCATGAGGACTAGCAGCTTCGTCTTAGCAGCTCTGCATCGGCACAAAGTCCTTATCAGGCAAGTCCTCGACTTACAACCACCAGACGTTCGACCACCAAAACCTCTTATCTCTTAAGCGAGCCATTGGCCGAGTGACTTTTGTCCCGCTTTCGCACCTCCCTTGCCACGGTTGTTAAGCGAATCACTGCTGTTGTTTTAAGTTTGTGAAGTGAATCCGGTTTCCCCATTGTCAGAAGACCGCAAGAGGGGATTGTGTCACACACACACACACACACACACACGGGACGCTGCAATCGTCGTCAATAACAGATGCCAAGCATCTGAACTCCCATCACATGACCTCCAACGGTCGTAAGTGTGAAAAAGCCGTCCTAAGTCCATTTTTTTTTCAGCAACTCAACGGTCCCTAAGCGAAGCGTTGTAAGTCGAGAACTGCATTGAACAATGACTGAGCTGGCTGGGGAATTCTGGGAGCTGAAGTCCTCCAGGCTTAAAGTGGCCCAGGTTCGAGAGCCCCGGGCTGGAAGACTGTAACGCCAACCAGGGTTGAGTGAACCGGGGTAAATCTGCTAATCTGTGGCTGATCTGAGCTCCCTCCAGGGACAAACGGGATCCGCGGTCTCCTCACCTTGGCTTTTCCCTGGAAGTTGAAGGTCAGCACGTATTCCCCCCGCCGGGTTTCGCTCTGCCGGATGAGGAAGACGCCGTGTCCTTCCAGGCCTTGGAGCTGGACCAACTGGGCGGCCTTGACCCGCGAGATCGGGCCGTGGAACCAGGGGAAGGCGGACAAGTAGTGGTCGATCCTCTGGGCCGGCTGCTCGGCGGGCCTGAAGAGAAAGGCCCCTGGGGGGGGGGGGGGGAGAGGAGGGTTTTAGTTGGGGCATCCGAGGTTGAATGGATTCAATCTAGTTTTTTA